GTCAGAATGAGAGTCCAAACAGCTGATAAAAACATCACAATAATCCACAGCACTCCAGTCCATCAGTTAACATCTGGAGAAGACAAAAGCTGAAACTAATCCAGCATTAAGACGTTTTTAACTAAAATACGAGTTCATAATCCTCCAGAAAAAGGATTCCTCCAGTGAAAAAGTGGTCTGGTCTGAATCAGGAGAGAAATCTGCACTGTTTACAAGCCAAAACCGCTCTAAACAAATATGTGGCTGGATTTTGATGTGAGAGACAACAGCAGATGCACTTTTTCACTGGAGGAAGCGTTATTATTGTGATGTGTTTATCAGCTGTTTGGACTCTCATTCTGCCGGCCCCCATTCACTGCAGAGCATCCATTGCTGAGACACTGATGCAATGCTACATTTCTCCAATCCACTCATCTACATTTTGGATAGCCTGAGGGTGAGGAATTTTTCAGCAAATGATCATTTTTGGGTAACTTTTCCTTTAATTTTCTTGCCATCATTTTCAAGTAAAAAACATAATATCCAAAATATAATTCCTGCTGATGTAATACAGCATTTGGACTCATAGTGAGCGCTTTTTCCACACTTTACACTCAGTGTAAAGTCACTCTGTGAAATGAATAGTGGATTATTAGAGAGCAGATGTGCGCAGAAAGCTCTGGTGATGTGAAATATATCTGAAGATTACTCTCCTGGGGTGAGAAGATGGGATTAGACATTTACACTTTATGCGTGTGACAGTCGTCTTCCCCCTTCTGAATTTCCTTCATCTAAGAAAATGAATGTTAATATATGTCTTTGCCCTATTTTATTGAGTTACCAAATGGAGAAAGTAATAAAAACAAAAGATCGGAAAACTTGTGATTGGAGACAAAATGGAAAGGACACGAAAATATTCTGTTTTAGTCATTTCTCCTGAAGATTGTTGAATAAGTTGTGTTAGTTTTTCCAATTACTTGATCCTTAAGGTATTTGGTCTCTGCCGTGACATTTTTAATGCTTAGTTTCTTCTCTTTCAAAGCCATTTAAATTCTTTTGGCTCATTTACTCGGTTTATGACCATTCAGGTTTCAAGACCTTGACTTTTTACTGTACCTCTTATTGCAGCTTCTGGAAATGTTTACATTTTCTGTTGGATTTACTAGTTTGTTAAAGAAATAATTCACCCAGGAGTGAAAGTTGCCCTCATGTTGTTTCTCTTTCATTCAGCCCGAGATGTTTTGTTGAACATTTGAGGTCTGTTTTCACGCAATAAATGTGGATGTTGAGTTTTACTCTTAAAAAGCACAATAAAACACATCGGCTATTCCTATATAAGCCCTATAGGGTATATATATTTATATATAAAGCCATATTTCTAAGGCTTCTAAATGATCAAAACTTCGTTGTCACACAATCTCCTCATGTCTTCAATCCAGTTAAAGCTCTTTTAGTGTAATTGTACAAACATCCAACTTCAGCTGCTGCTTCACATGTCTTTCTCGTGTCAAATCTCGACTGATTTTGATCAAGTAAATGTCAGAATAACTGCAGTAATATCTCCAGATGAACACTTACTGGACTGAAGCAGCTCAGCTTTACTTGATTCTCCATCAATCATGTTTTAGAGTCTCAAATCTGATCCTCAGGATCTTTTGAGGAGCGTTTGTTTCCAGAAGCTTTACTTTCACTGTTCCTCAGCGGAGGAATGATCTTCACAAGCCTCCAGAACATCTCACATCTTCTGAGGAGCCTTTATTTCTTCAGCTCTCAATCACTGCATTATATGTTTGGATCATTTCAATCTCCGCTTACTAAAACAGATTATTGGAGATGTAGAGCGACCGCTGATAATTAGATCATTTTATGTCAGTATCTGCTCTACTGTTATAAACATATAATTGATGTGTATTACAAGCATCAGAATTTCATCACTTTTTGTCCATATAAATATCATCATCTGCACCAATTTGCATATTTTTGTTCAGTTCGAGTCTCTGAATAAAATTGAGCTGAATAGTCATTTAGCAGACGCTTTTATCCAAAGCAAATGAGGACAATGGAAGCAATCAAAATCAACAAAAAAGCAATGATATGCAAGTGCTACAAATCTGTAAAATAACAAAAAAAGTACTGGCAGCTCATTACACACAACATTATCCATTAATTTTACGGACATTTCTGTTAACTCTAAAACACAATGCAATGAAGTGTAAAATTCAAAATACTGGTAAAACACCTGTAAAAAAATAAATACGGGAAAATTCCTTCAAATTATATACATATATATATATATATATATATAAAATTAGATATTATATACAAATTATATAATACTAAATTAATACAGTATATTGTTTTACAGATTTTTTTAGAGTGTATAACAAGTCTCAGCTTAACGCAGTACACATAGCAAGTTTTTTAAAATTATATAATAAATAAAAAGAAAATGGATAGAATAGAAAAATAATAGAGCAAGCTAGTACATGAACATGAAAGTACTAGAACATAAAACACATATGCAAACTTTTTGTTTTAGATAGTGTCAGTAACCGGTTCCATTTCTAAAAACGAGGTAACTTTTTTTTTCCAGATGTCAGGCTTTACAGGCTTACAAACGTCCCGTGTGTGTTTTGTGTGTTCAGCAGAGGGTGCCGAGCGTCTGGCGGCGATGCGCTCCGATTCGCTGGTTCCCGGGACGCACACGCCACCGATCCGCAGACGCAGCAAACTGGCCAGTCTGGGACGACTCTTCAAACCGTGGAAATGGAGAAAGAAAAAGAGCGACAAGTTCAAGCAGACGTCTGCAGGTACGAGACACGCATAGCAATCCACCTGCAGACGCAGATGCACTGTTTTCATTTCTAAGCAGTTTCGTTGATGATTGGCAGTGCTGGAGAGGAAGATGTCGACGCGTCAGAGCAGAGAAGAGCTCATCAAGAGAGGCGTGCTGAAGGAAGTGTATGAGAAAGGTAAGAAAAGAGCTTTTCTACTTTATCCGTTCAAGCAGACAGGAACTGAATGTTAGGGATGGGCAATATGGGCTTAAAAATATATCACGATAACTTCTGGTATTTATTTGCGATAACGATTCAATAACGATAATTCAGGGAATCTTGTGCATCCTGTTTCTTTAGAGAAAAGTATTATTTTTCCTATTTTTACCCAAAATAGGGTGTTCTGAGCATTACTGAGTACACACTTAATGTAATGACTGTTTAATTCATACTGGAAGCCAGAGGGCGCCCTTGCGCAGAATGCGAACTTCACATATGCATTGCAGAAGTAATAGTACTGATGACGTTCCAGGAAATCCCTAATATGGACAAAGGTATCCAGTTATCGCTGTAGCTGAATAAAACGCAGATAGAGAATTTTTAACTGAGGAAACTGAATATAAACATACTATTGCGACAATATATGGTTTAAATGTGTTCTTTAAGGAATCCTGGGTATTTTTATAAGGATAAAGTATATTTATAATGCGATGGTATTCGACATAGCCTGTATCACTGTATATAATACTATAAAATAGTATGATTTCTGCCGCATTCTGTGATATGAAACCACGTCTGGTCACAAAAAGAAGTTATTTCAAACTCTCGACTATGTTAAGTTAATTTGGAGAAAAATCATGTCAATAAATGGTATCTTTGTTGGACAACAGGTTTGTAAACAGGCTCATACACATGCAAAACTGTATCGCACACACATGCTACTGTACTACATTTATTCAAGGCTCAGACCGATTTTTTGTCGCACTGTACAGCCCTAACCAAACCAGTTCCAGATTGTAGAAGTAGCTCATCCTTTAGCAATAACGTTATACTCTTCCTCAATTTCACATCCGCCTTCCACGATGTCGCTCTGCACGGTCGCACACAGAAATATGTCAACAACTAGACTTTATCGTTATTATCGCGGGAAGGTTAATTCTTATCATGGGGAGAATTTTTACCGGTGTATTGCAAACGATAATATATCGCCCATCCCTACTGAACGCGCTTTATTGAAATAAGTGAGTGTGAACGTCTCGATCTGTGTGTCAGTAGATGAGGTCAGCGTCGACGGCGGCCGCATGTGTGTGAGTGATCTGGACAGACAGAAGGTCATCATCAGTCCAGTGTCAGAGTCTGCAGACACCAGCGTCACAGCGACAGGTGCTTCACTGTCCACTTCTCATATTCTGCACGGTTTGACTTAGAATCTCACCAAAAACTGCCGTAGTTTAGTGTCTACTGATCATTTTTCACCTTCTACATAAAGCTACTGTATTTCTGATACTGTACCTTTAAGTCATTTCACACTGATGTTTATTGGGATCAAGGTACTGAATGCTGAGTAGGTGTTGATATGCAAATGAGGGTGGTTATATGTTAATGAGTAATTTTTGCTGTTTTGTTTCAAAAAATATTCTAGATGCACTTGAAGGTTTGGGAGTTTTTTTTATTAAAAAAAGAGCAGTAAATATTCAATTATATTAATTGAATATTTACTGCTCTTTTGTTAATAAAAATAACTCTCTCTCTCTCTCTATATATATATGTATATGTAATCTTACTTTACAATGTTCTAAAATATATGCATATATATACTGTATGTGTGTGTGTGTCCGTCCCTGTTACACTTAATGTTGTCACATTTCCTGGTTAAATAAATATTACATAAAAAAAGAACAAATATAATTCTATTTTGTATTTTATTTAATTTAATATTTTAATACTAATTATACATTTCATAGTGTTTTTATGCAGTTTTATATTTATTCCAAAATAATAACTAAAGGCAGTAACAAGTTGAACAATATTTTGGAAACAATTTACAATAATAATTAAGTTATTAAATAAATAATAATTAACAATAAGGATTCATTAGTTAAAATTAGTTAACTACTTTAGTTAACATGAACTAAGAATAAACAATAGCCTACTTCTATAGCATTTATTAATTAGTTAATATTAATTTCAACATTTACTAATGCACTATTAAAATCAAAAGTTGTGTTTGTTAACATTAGTTTATGCACTGTGAACTAACATGAACTAACACTGAACAACAGTAGGCCCTATTTGTATTAACTAATGTAAACAAAGATGAATAAATACTGTAATAAATGTTCATTGTTTGTTCATGTTAGTTAACACATTAAATGACACCTTATTGTAAAATGTTACCAATCTTTTTTTATTTGTGAACTGATGTTCAGCTGTTCTTTTTAATAGTCAACTTATTTCGGGTCATCGTCATAAAAGCTCTGTAAACACTGCCACAAACACGAAGATATATCTTTCATTTCATCACACTGAATGCTCATTAAAAACTGACACAGTCATCACGCTTTCAGACCATTTCAAGCTTTATTTTGACGTGACACATAGCAGTGATATCCAAGCGGGAGAGTTGTTTACTTTATAATTAGTCAATAACGCCATCATTTGCTTCATTCTGACCGAGAGCTCGCACGAAAACAAGAGGCAGGATTTATCACACGAACCAATCACATTCAATCATAACCGATCATATCCAATTATAGCGCGATGGAGGCATTGCCTCCTCTCACGTGACTTTCCCCCATTCATTCTCAATTACAACCAAGAAAAGTCACTGCACGCTTTAGGGTCTCTGTTGAAAGTCAATGGACTAAAGGGAGGCAAGCCTCCGCTGTAACTTTACCTGCGGGTGTCGTGTTTGTTCATGGTAGTTAACACATTAAGCGACACCTTATTGTAAAATGTTACCAATATTTTTTATTTGTGAACTGATGTTCATCTGTTCTTTTTAATAGTCAACTTATTTCGGGTCATCGTCATAAAAGCTCTGTAAACACTGCCACAGACACGAAGATATATCTTTTCATTTCATCACGCTGAACGCTCACTAAAATCTGATGCAGTCATCACGTTTTCAGACAATTTCAAGTTTTATTTTGACGTTAACTTTACCTGCGGGTGTCGCTGTTGGACAGTGTTACTTTATAAAAACGAGTGACTTTTAGACTTTTAATGCCATATTTAGTAATATTTGCGATTTATGTTTGTAATATCGATTATTTTGTCATCTAATTTTTTGAGGAGACACTGCCTCCCTTGCCTCTTGGGAAGGATCGCCCCTGATGTATATGTATATTATAAGGGAAAGGAGAAAGAAATCAATACTTTTTTTCATCAAGGATGCATTAAATTGATCAAAAGTTGCAGTAAAGACATTTATAATCTTACAAAAGATTTCTATTTCAAATAAATGCTGTTCTTTTGAACTTTCTATTCATCT